TCCAGACTTGGGTTTTTCTTGTTAAAAGATGACCTTAGGCTCACCGGGAACCCCCAAAAATGTGGATGAGTTGCTGCTGCTGCTCTGGGTGAAGCCCGGGCAGCGGCTCTGGGCTGAACCCGCCTGCTCGTTCCCCTCTTGGTACCCCTGGGGCCGCGGCCGGAGGAATGGCCCCAACCCCAGGGGTCTGCAGGGACGGGGAGAAAGGGGCCACCAGCCCTGTGGGGCGTCATCTATCCCAGCACCCAAGGGTGGGGGTACAATCCAGGGCTCCGCTGGGCTCCGTACCGGCCCCCAGCCCTTCTCTCCTGGAGCATCGGGGCATCTCGGCGGGGGGGGGTGTGTGTGTCCCTGCAGAGCACTTTAGGGTCCCCCCCAGACCAGGGGTCTTCGCCGGGGACCGCACCTGGGAACGCTGCTGGGCCAGAGCTTCGTTAGCCCCGCTCGCCTTGTTAAGACGTCCCGAAAGGAGCCCGCGGCTGGCACCGGTGAACGTCCCGGGTTGCAACGTGTCTGTGCCCTGGTTCGTGTTAACCTCGTCACCGCGTGGAGCCGAGTGCCGCAGGATTTATCCCACAGGATTTATCCCACAGCCTCCTCCGGGAGCGCGCTGGGGCAGCAGGTGATACCTGTGTGATTTATTTGGGGTTTTTTTCCTATTTTTTGGGAACTACAAGTGCTGATGGGGCCAAATCCCCGCGCCCTGGGGAAGAGCTTGCTGCTCGCTCTGGGCTCAGAACGGCTTTTAAATGAAAATAAAACGAGGATTTTCTAGCACGCCCCTGTCTGCTGCCAGCATCCTTGCGGCGGTGCAGGGCTGTGAGCCCCAAAATGGGGTACCCCAGAATCTGGGCTGTCCCGGTGCCCCTTCGCTGGCCACGTCCTCAGGATGTGGATTACGTGGGGACAGCCCCGTCCTCGCGTGGGCTTGGGGATGGGTGGCATCGCCTTGTTCTCCCTTTGGGACAGTGCTGGTGGACCTGGGGCTGCGTGGCTCCCGATGTCATGCCCCGTAGGGCAGGACAGGAGGCATGCTGCGTGGTCCAGCGCCGCTGGGATGCTGGTGGGTGCTCAGCACTGTGTCACCCTGGCCATGCTGGGGGGGGGATGGACGGGGGACACCAAGCTGGGGGTGCAGCCCTGGCTGGGGCAGAGGGGGACCGGGGTGGCTTTTGGGGGACACCCAGGGCCAGGGATGCTCCCGGCATAGGGGACGGGGAGGTTTTTTCACTAGATGGCAGCAGAGACTGCGGGATGCGGCGCTCAAGCTGGTGGCAGGGCCACCCTGGGGACAGTGGGTGCTGGGGAGGGTGCTGAGCTGCAGCCCTATCCTGCTGGGGGTGGACAGGGTGTGCCTTCCTCCTCCTCCTCCTCCCTGAGCATCCGCAACCCAAATCCCCCCCCGCCAGCCCGGCCCGTGCAGCAAAATGCATGAAAATGGGTGAAATGCATGAAAATGGCCCAACTTGAAAAGCCGCAGCGGAGGTGGCGTTGGCTAAGCGGGGACTGCGGTGGTGTCACCCCATCTTTTCGGGAGATTTAGCACCCTGAAGTGCCGGGGGGGAGTTGTCTGTGGTTCAGCCACGTTTCTGGCCAAACTATCGAAGCTGCTTCTTCAAAGCCCCGGCGTTACGGGGCTGTCAGAGCCTTTGATTTTTGTGGGTGACCCGGCGGATGAAAGGCGCCGTCCCGCTGCCGCCCCATCCCTGCCGGGGACTCGCCCAGCTCGTTTTGCCAGTGCGGCTGCCGAAATGGGTTTGGGGTTGTTTTTTCTAAAAACAAGTTGGTGCTCAACGGGTTCAACCTCAAAGCGGGGCTTAAGGCCCCAAAAATGAGGTTTAGGATTGGGGATTTTTGGTCTCGTGTGCCCAGCCTGGTGTTTTTCGGGTGCTCCGCAGCACCCAATATGAAGCAGGTGCGTGGGGTCCCTTGTCCCCATGCCAAGCCCGGGCCAGGTGTGTGACGGTGGTAACGGCCACCTTGGCTCCTCTCGGGGCTCTTGCTTGGCCCCTCTTGGGGCTCTTGGGTTAAAGCCAGCGGTGGGACAACCTGTGGGTGCAGTCGGCTGACGTGGAGGAGGTTTGGAGGAGCCCAGAGGCGAACCCCGGTGTGGTTTTGCGGGGTCCTTGCTGCCGGGAGCCGGTTGCAAGGCTCCGGTTTTGTTTTCCAGCCGGTGTTTGCCTGCCTGGTTGGTGCATGTTTGCTCTCCCGGCGACGCCCTGCTTGAGCTTATTTGCTTTTCTTTGTGTAAAGAAATGCCACGTAAAAGCCTCGGGTGCGGGAAACGTCCCTGGGTGCTCACCTTGCTGGCTCTGGCAGCCCTGCCCCGTCCCACGGGGACAAGGAGCGCGGGGTGCCCTCTGGATGAGCGCAGCCCCTGCCCTCGAGTCCCCCCGATGCTTCCCCGACTGGACCCAGCACCTTGCCTTCCTACCTCCTCTCTGCCCGCGCTCTTCCCCCGCCCAAATCGACCCCTAAAAATATGATTAGGAGATTAAATCAGCCTGTATGGCCTCCTCACTATCGCAAAAGGCGCTGGTGGAGTTGTCCCCAGGCTCGCTGGCTCTCCAAGACTGATTTCTGCTGGGTTTCACCCACTGCAGAGCACAGAGCGGCTGCAAAGGCGCTGCGAGACCCGAGGCTCTCGCCGCGAGTCACACCCCGCGGGTCTGCGACACCATCGCACAAGACACCGCGGGGCAGCGGGAGCCACCGCTTGTTAGTGGGTTCCTACACAAAAGACGGGACGATGCTCACAAGCGCACGGTTTGGTTTGAGTTTTATTCCGGACCCGGGAGAAAGGCAGCCTCCCGCGGTGGCAGTAACGTTGCTCCGGCGAAGCCCCATGCGACTCCCCTTTGGCGAGCGGCTCGATGCCATTTCGGCTCCATCTGAGCAGTGGAAGGGGTTTTCCCGGGAAGGCTGGATGCCCCGGCCCGCTGGCTGCTCTCCTGTCCGAGCAGCCTAGGAAGGATGGGAACGACCCCGACCCTCATTTTGCCCCTCCGCTGTCTGTGTGTGTTTGCTCGGGTGTTTTGGGAGAGCCTGGGCTGTGGCTACTTACCTCCCTCCCAGCAGCAAGGGAAGTTTCAGACCTTCCTACAGTTCATCACCCTCGGGGCTGTGCTGGTACACACGCCGGTGGGGCTGGGCCGGCGATAAGATGGGTGAAGAGCTCGGGGTTCAAAATAACCCTTCCCCCTTTTCCGAGGGTTAGATTTAACCTGGATTTCCCTGATCCAGTCGGCGCGCTGGGGTGCGGTTGCTCTGCTAGACACCACCCGAGCGACCTCTTTGCTTCTCATGAGGTTAGCGATTACTTCTTATCCTGCAACGACATCTCATTTTATTTTCCCCACTGCTAAGCCTGTCTTTTAACGAGAGGATCTGCTCTGGGATCCCAGCCATCACCCAGCACAGGAGGAAAAGTGTTTCGATTAGAAGCATATTAAGGACTTCTCAGGCTTCAAGGAGACTGCAGTTATCTTTGGCTTTTATAACTCAAACTCTGTCCTTTTGTTCTCCCTGGTGTGTTTTTTATCTCGAGTAACAGAACTGGTTTTGTGCTAGAGGAAGCAGTGACCGCCTTGTACGCTCTGAGCGTGGCAAACACTAACGAGGGTTGGGGAGCGCTGACGAACCCTCCCCAAATGGAGATGACCTAAAATCGTAATGAAAAAAAAAAACCAACAAAACTTCAAAGGGTGAGTGTCACTTTTCATCTCGATTAAATTTCCTTTCCAGGATTGGGTTTCTCAGCTTCCTATTAATCTTCCAGCAGTTCAGAGTCAGGTTTTAATTTGTAATAAGAGCGAGCAGGGGTGGGGGACAAAAAAAAAAGCTATCGCCGTACAGCCTAGGAGCACCTATCTGAAGAAAACTGATTTTCTTTTTGTCCCGTTCTTTAATTAATCGTAGCATTTCCTTTGGAGTCTCGTCTTTTGACATCGACAGCTCAGCGTCAGCTTTTCAGGGGTAAAAAAAATCCTTGCTGCTAAATCCCAGACTGCTCAAATACCGCTAGCGGAGGCACAAATTAGAAATAGCCACGATAAAGCATTTGGGGGGTTGGTTTTAAAGGGCATTTGCTAAACCTGGCTTGGAACAGCAGTGCCGGTAGCCAATTAAAGCCACCTAACGAGGGCATGCTGCCTGCTGGGCAAAGGCGGAGAGGTCTCTTTAGCAACCCATTTTGCCACAGCGATTAGCGTAAAAACTCACTGTCGAGAGGAGGATTTCTTTGAAAGCAAAGTGACTTTTCTGGTTAGAAGTTCAAAGGCCAGTGATTTCCAGAGGGGACTAAGGCTTTTCCAGGAGGGAACAGGGTGTTTGGGGGCTGTAGCCATGCTGGAGGGGTTACATTCTTCTTCTTTTTGACAATCCTGCGCATGGGCATCTCCCTCAGGCACTGGGGGTGCTGCCTCGCGGAAGGGGAAGGCAGTTTTTGGGGGGGGGGGGGGGGGGG